AATGGCGGACGCGATTGCGCAATATGCTTAAAAAACCTCCAAATGGGACAGGGGGAACTTCTGAAGCTTCCCTCTCCCTCTGTTGTTGACTGTTGGTGTGATAAAACAAACAACAACTATAAAACTTGCACCAGACATGCCAAAATAATTACGAAATAATTACAAAATAATTACAAAATTATTACAAAATTATTACGAAATAATTACTAAATTATTATGAAATAAATTGAAAAAAATGTTTCAAATCTAATTTACTCCTCACACTATTCCTGCATGGCTCAATATTGGATCGTAAGCTAATTTAAATACAAATTAATAATGAATTACGAAATTAACAAACGAAACCGCCCAAGCCTAATAGGTACCACTCCAGTGAAAAAGTAATGGTGCTCTATATAGTCATGCCAGCCACATGACCTTGGAGGTGTCTATAGGTAATGCTGGCTCTTCGGCTTAGAAATGGAGATGAGCACCAACCCCCAGAATCAGACACTACTGGACTTAATGTCAGGGGAAAACCTTTACCTACCTTTGAAGAGCAAAGCAGATGCACTGGCAAGGATAACCCTGATAAAAGAGCGCAGATGAGCTCTCTCTGTCAGCTCCAACTTCTCATGTGGGGACATGAGAGAAACCTTCCACATCAAAACATCTGGGCATCCCCTAGGCAAAATCCTCGCAGATGGCCAATTCTGTCACACCAGAAGCAACTTGCAGTTTCTCAAGTCACTTCTGACACAAAAAAATCAGCTACATTAGTAATCTCTTCTGATCAAACCTTCTGTCTACCAAACCTGATGGAAGCATCATTCACCCTTGTTTCAAATGCCACCATTTCCCCATTCAGCCCAATAAATTTGGAAGGAAGAGTTACCACTGTAGCAATACTAAATACTAAATAACAATCATGAATATGATACTTTTATGCGTGAGTAAAGCTAGGTAACTATTCTGGCAGCAAAATGTCTTGGATCAGCTGTATTGTCCTGTACCGCTCCACTCAACAGGATAAGTTAAACTTTCATAAAATATATAATCAAATTCTACGCACACACAATATGCCATCTATTAGAATTTCGCGTAGTTCTCTGAGGTTAACAATACTGGAGATAATCAGAATGAATGCTTAATTGCACGTTGCCTGACACTTGTTACAGCTAGGATGATCAAAGAGAATTAATTTCTCATCCTTTACTCCATCAGGGTCTCATTTTAAAAAACCAGATCTGACTACCCCCCCCCCCCCCGCCCCAACATATACATGTTCACGCATACTTGTCCCAAATTTCTGCTTTTCCAATATTTAAGATAGAACTACATCTCAGTACAAACTTAACTGAACAAGAAGTAACTGCATTCTTMCTGTGTGTTACTGTAACTTTTTGTAGCATGTGTACCCARAGAGGCAGGAGCTCATTAAACGATGGCTGAAGAATATCATATAGTTCCAGGGCTTGCTGTGCTGTGTCTGGTAACATGTCCTCATGTCCATTGCAGGCATTAAGGTGGAAAGGGGGGAGTACTGTGTTTTGAAGCAAAAGTCAGCCTTTAGTTTCATTTCTATACTTTATGCTAAATAATGTGAGTTATTTTTGAAAAAGAATAAAACAAAAAAGTATTTTTAAAGATGCAATTACTTTGGGGCCTTGGAACTATAGCTACAACTGTAATTATATAAAAAAAATCCAAGCTGTAGATGTGCATACAAACATATATTCATCCTCAGAGGCCACATATGCAGTTCAATATGGTTAAACTGTATTTATGAGTCTGCAGTGTCCACCTAATAGTGTCAAACTGTATTATATAGCAGTATGTTTAGACACTGTGTTTTTAGTGTAACTATGTTTATTTAAATATTAGTATTTCTCATTATTATTTAAATATTAGTATTTCTTGTTATTATTTTATATTATTTCTAATCTTTATAGTTATAAGTTTATGATGTTGTTTGTATTGCTTTGATTTGTTTGTCTTTGTTGACTACAGCATTGAATGTTTGTCCTTTTTGTATGTAAGTCCCCTTGGGGAGAGAGGGTGGTCTATAAATAAAGTATTTATTCTTATTCTTATTCTTATACAGTGGTTCTCAACCTGGGGTCCCCATATGTTTTTGGCCTTCAACTCCCAGAAATCCTAACAGCTGGTAAACTGGCTGGGATTTCTGGGAGTTGTAGGCCAAAACACCTGGGGACCCACAGGTTGAGAACCACTGTATAATATAGATAAGGTCTCAGACAGACAGACATACACAGTGGTTCACAGTGTGAACCCTTTGGTTCACAGTGTGAGTGAGGATATGTGCATGCTGAGAGAAAACAGAAGGTTTTGATTCTTTTATCTAACATCTTATGATTTTCATGAAATGGTGGGTTTCAGAGGGTGTTTTTTGTTTTAAATACATACATGTATATCAAAGACAGGCAAGATACCATATCTACTCCACAATTATTGTATCATCTATTGGAGGCATGATATTTTGATAGCATTAACAGAGGACTTTTCATATAGTTACAAAAATCCATGCCAACTACATAGACCACTTGAACCAAAGCCAAAAAGGTATTAGAGCATTTATAATTACAATGTCCTTTGCTTCTGAAAACCACAAGAACCTTAACACTGCCTCTATTTCTCAGCACGGGGAAAAGGGTGATTAGGGATTCTCCCATCTTGATTGCTGAGTGGAATTCAGTAGTCTTATTGTTAACTCCACAATCAGCCATGTATTGTCTGGCCTGCCTTTCCTTTAAAAATGAATATCTTGTCTTTATCAGCTCATAAATGGAACTGCAGATAAGAAAACACCATGTTCTGAGAAACTTTCCCCAATGCAGCTCATAACATCCAGGTCAATGGAACAGTAAATCAGATCTAAACTTATACTTTAGAGCAGGGGTTCTCAAACTTTTTCAGCCACAAGCCCTTTTTGAAGCAAAATAAATGTTTTATGTGTGTGTGTGTCATTGTGACACAAGTTTTAAAATTTGACAGATGGGCTGGGCCAGTGGAAGATGATGGAGAGTGTATGTGTGAACTAATTGAAAAAAACGTGAACAACTATGCACACTGCATTTTTTTGTAGTGCAAAAAAAGGAAAGAAAGAACAATACAATATTTAAAATGAAAAACATTTTTAACCAAAATAAACTTAACAGTATTTCAGTGGAAGGCCCCAATATTTCAGTGGAAAACCCCATCCAGTCCAACCCCTTCTACCATGCAAGAAAAGCACTATCAAAGCATCCCTAACAGAAGGCACTTCAGCCTTTGTAGTAGTAGTAGTAGTAGTAGTAGTAATAACAACAACAACAACAACAACAACAACAAAACAACAACAAGAATAATGGCAACCCCAGGGGCCATCCTGTTCATCTGCCATGCAGGAGAAGAGGGAAAGCTAGGATGGAAAGGGGAAGGATGAGGAGAGAAGCGCAGAGCCCCTCAGTGTGCTTCGTGGAACCCCAAAGACTCCACGGAGCACACTTTGAGTACTGCTGCTTTAGAGGGACTGTCCAAGCTTGGTGCTGAATCGATTTGGGAATAGTATTCGGTGACTCTTACAAGATCTCTATTTTTAAATTCAGATAAAATCCAGAGAATAATGAACTAGAATAACTTTCCCTCAAGCTGGTCCCCCTAAGCTGTGTTGGACTACAATTCCATTCAATTAAATGGACTACAATTCCAACAATCCCAGGTCATGCCAGGTGTACTTTTAGTGGTGTTGGAAATTCAATACAACTAGAAGACTCTGAGTTAGGGGGTTGATCTGAAAGAAACTTTGGTTTGATTCAGTGGTGTAGAGAAGACTTACATAGCTACACTTCTGTCTGTTACCTTGGTAGCATTAGGTTTTCCTTGCACAGTAAATTCTTCAAACAGAATTTTCAAATAATCTGATTTCATCTGCAACTACAAGAATGAGGTTCATCTGGACGAGTTGGGGCTATCTTCGATTCTACAAAGATCTTACTGAGATATGACAAGGATTTGACTTCTCTGTACATAAGCTCAAGGCAAACCACTTAAAGCTTAGCTACAATACAATCTGTTTCTTAATTTGAATTCATATCCTTTGACCATGTGAACTTCCTTTTGAGGGTGGAACTACTGGTATGAGTAGATTCATAATGGATTCTATACTTCATAAAAGTGGAGTTCTCCATACATGCCATTTCCTCCAATCCACTCTTTGGTCTGTAAAAGGCTTGATGGTGGTACACTATAGATCTCCCACAGAGGCTAAGTACTAATAACACACTAATCTTTCCTGTTTGGTGGGTAATTAAACTGGAAAATGAATATAAGGGGTGTGGGAGAAGGAGTTGTGTTTGGCATAATTATTCACAATAACAGCAGTCTGGGAAAGAGAAACAGTTCTATGTATCTCTTGCTTCTCTTGGAAAATGATATACAGGCAATACCCAATTAATCAGGGTGAATATTTAATTGAATGTCATAATTGTAATCAATTGGAGAGGTGAACTGATTGAAATATCAGGCACAATTTACAGGTTTTTGATTTGATTTGATTTTTTTTGTTGGAAGGAGGAGTAGAACCACGATTTTTTTTCTCTGTTCTATTCTAAGCAATCAGAAATTGGCACTGAATGGTTCTGGAACAAAAATAAGAAATTCTGCTCTACTAAAACTCTATCACCCACAAATATAATTCCACAATCTATTTTGCACATCAATAAGCTTTAGGATCATTAAACAAAAGATACTTCAGCTATTTTTGAAATAAAACATTTAAAGGAAGTGCATAGGGGACCATAGACATATATGCATTTTCAATTATTATTTTAATGTATAGACTATTTCCAAATATATAAAACATACTGTTTCATCTTTTATCTTGTTAAAAATATGTGTTCATTGTTAGGGTTTTTATACATAAATTCTCCAGAAATATAATAAAAACAATATGAAAAGAAGTATTCATCTAGAATTATATTTCTTACTCCATAACTTAATTAAACACTTATTTTTTCCAAATTACCACTTATGTAAGTTTCAGACAGTAGTTTTTACATATAGGCACAATAGAGCCAATGCCAAGTTAGTTTGATACCTGATTATTTCCGTGAGTACATGCTTAGTGTTTCCACTGACGTCAACCTACAAATGCTATCAACCAGGATCCAGGATGGAACATTTTTATCTTGCTATATCAAAATGATGTTGCTATCTCAGAGACATTGGTAGATAAAGATCTCTGTGGAGGAAAGGTTAATTCTTTGCACAGTCTTGGAGTCCTAGTCAGTGTTGTCCTTTCCTTAAGTACTTTATCATAGATGCTCTGTAATATTTCAGCTTGAGAGTAGCCTTCATTTTGCATCAGCAACTCAGGGTGAAAATGGGTTTTCTTGAGTTGGGGATGATATCTATAATGCTGAGCTTCAGAACAGTCAATTGTGCCTCCATGTTCATGATGAGATGGAAAAGGCATGCCCCTTGAAGATGAGTGACCATGCGATCCACTGCCATTGTTTACATCTCTGAACAATATTGCTTTGTTAAAGGCAGCAGCTCCTGAAGAAAAACAACAAGAATGCGCTGAAATTATGTGCGTGTAAACATACACAAACACTTCAAAACAGAGTTATTTCTTATTTAGACCATGGCTTCTTAAACTGTTGGTCCTGACCCCAAATGAGGTCGCCTTAGCTCAATTTTGGGGTTGAGAAAAATTTAGCAGCAGTAAAAGGTTTCTGAATGGCACTGAGACATTTGCAGCACTCTGTTAGCAATGATGTGCAGTGTTCACAGTGGACTCTACAGAACATGTACCAGCTGTACAACATTAAAAGAAAAAATCAGCCTGTTGAATAAGGCTTGCAAATGCTGATTTATTAGCAGTAAATGTTTGATTTTTATACTTATTTTATGTACCTATATACCTGGGGCCACATAAAAATTTCCCGAGCAGAAAAAGGTCACGAGTGGAAAAGGTTTAAGAAGCCCTGATCTAAGGACACAAAAGCATCAGGTATCCATGGTGCTGAATCAAAGCACAAAGGTGGAGAGGAACAGAATGTTTTGCATCATCCCCTGCTGAACATTTTTCCTTCCCCAAATCAGCACCATTATTGCACTTTTCAACATGCATGTGGAATCCCACAAGGGGAAAGCAACTTTGGAGAAGCAAAGTGGAGCATTAAAATGGCTGCTGGAGAAAGATATAAACACCAGCAGCAGTTTCCAAATGGCACCACTCATGGACAAGAGGAAGATATCAACAGTTTTGGGAAAGTCCCAAGACTGCAAGAGTGCTTTTTAAAATATAAAAGGAAAACTGGAGCAAATTGTCCACAAAATAGGAGAAAGTTGAGTATATTAATATACACAATGGTAAATACTCCATGGAATGAAATCACATCAACCTCAATAACCAAATGTTGCATCATTAGAGAATGTGCCAAGTTGGCCAACCAGTACCAACAATCTCATAACCAAAACAGAACCATCAATAAGCAAAATGGAATATGCTGGTCGAAAAACTATTGTTAGCCCAACTACAGCAGATCCATTAAATAAACAGTATGTACTTGTGTGTATTCATCAATGGATTCAATGGATCTAGTCTAGTTAGGACTAAAGAACATAATGTAAGCCTCCAAATATCAACTGCACAACAACAACTATCACCTGAGCTTGTTGTTAGTATCTCTATATCCGTTGTTCTCCAGGTGTTTGGGCCTACAACTTCCAGAAATCCCGGCCAGTTTACCAGCTGTTAGGATTTCTGGCAGTTGAAGGCCAAAATATCTCGGGACCCACAGGTTGAGAACCACTGCTCTATATTGTTAAACAAGCTATGATCCCATGTATTTTACTCTGGAGGAGTTACTTATGGGTTAAAGTAGCTCCTAGTTTATCAACTTACCAGCAGGCTGCTCAGTCTTTCTTGCTGAGGGCCTCTTCAGTCCTTCCCGACTACAGTCCGAGTCACAGTCATTGCATTCACTGTCTCCTTTTCCACTGTCTTTCCCACTCAATTGATCCAAAGCTGAATGGTCACTAAAGAGGATGGGAGGAATTGTCAATGTATTTGCCGCAGGAATATGCTCAAGCAGAAATATAAAAAATATGTTGTAAGAATTATATTCAACACTATTAGATGAAAGAATGGAAAATTCCAACCCTTGCCCATGGTCCACAGGGGCTAAAGGGCTTAATCTGCACAAATTGCAAGATTTGTGCAGTTTTCTTTCACACACCAAGTTCTGTAAACTACAATTAAGGATAGATTTTTTTATTAACTACTTCACTGCTGGAGAAGAAAGAAAGTGTATTGGAAAAGGTCATTAGTGAAAGGGATTGCTCCTTCAGCAAAATACACTGTCTCCACGAAATAAAATTTAGAACTCTTTGGCACTTAGGCATCCAAGAAAAAAAGAGTGGCACAGTTATCAAGGGAAAACAAGAAACAGAGTTTGTATATGAACTATTTACAGTGTCACACTCTCTAAAATACCACTAATTTGGTGAATGAAAGGCTATTTCATAGAATCAAAATTCTTATTTGGGAAGGCAATTGCATCGTATTGCTCATTTTACAGACCTGTACATGTTGCTACCAATCTACTTATGACACACAAAATGTACACAACAGTGGGAGCCACACATGCATTACACAAAAATATGTAGACATTTCCCAACTCAATGAAAAGATGAAAAAGGCAAGTTGAAAGAAAAGGTGGTAGTTACCTGAAGCTCGAAGCTGTTTGGCCCACGTCCCATACAGATGAGAGTAGATGAGATGTCACACCTTGACCCTGTCAAAGAGAAGCAAACAAAAACCATGTTTATATGTAAAACACTGCAATATATCATTAAATGCAAGCCAATACTTCTGTGATTGGTAACTCACCCTGTTATATCTCTTATGCAACTGCAGTTCTTTTTAAATAGCATTTCAGGGAAATGCCTACTTTTTTGGACGGCATATTTCAGAATGCTCTATGGTGCCCTTTTGGCTATGATTCAAGTGATTTACTCTAGTTGGCATGAATAGTTGGATTGAGTTTGGTACTGGGAATGGTGCTTTTCTACTAGCAGTCCTGCTGGCACAAGGGTTAACCTATTGCATCGCTGGGGCCTCCAACAGGGCCTCTGAAACCCACTAGAGTGGTGGAAATAAGTGTCACTATTCTCTGCTTTTCACTGGCTAATCTCCAGAAGTAAGCAAATTAAAGGTTTCTGTCAGAACTTAAGTCTGATTTCACAAGGTTGCTACACTGGTTTAAGTCAGAAGAGATCAGCTTAAACTCAACTTCCTGCCTTTAGCTGGACAGTGAATGATGCTGTCAGTCTCTCCTCACTCCTCTCTGAACAGACTGAGGCGAAAAGTACAGTAAACCAGATCTGACAAAGACATCCCAAGGGAGCTGACATGAGGGTGAATTAGATGGAGAGGAACAGGCCGAAGACAGACCTCTGGGTAATAGCTGGTAGACTTGCAAAATTACGAATTCCCATTGGTCTAATGAAAGTCTGTCTTGGGTGGCTGTGAGTTTTCCAGGCTGTATGGCCATGTTCCAGAAGCATTCTCCCCTGATGTTTCACCCACATCTATGGCAGGCATCCTCAGAGGTTGTGAGGTCTGCTGGAAACTAGGAAAACGGGGTTTATATGTCTGTGGAATGGCCAGGGTGGGAGAAAGAACTCTTTGTCTATTGGAGCTAAGTGTGAATGTTGCAATTGGTCACCTTGCTTAGCATTGAATGACCTTGCAGCTTCAAAGCCTGACTGCCTCCTGCCTGAGGGAATCCTTTGTTGGGTGATGTTAGGTGGCCCTGATTGTTTCCTGTCTGGAATTCCTCTGTTTTCTGAGTGTTGATCTTTATTTACTGCCCTGATTTTAGAGTTTTTTCATACTGGTAGCCAGATTTTGTTCATTTTCATGGATTCCTCCTTTTTGTTGAAATTGTCCACATGCTTGTGGATTTCAATGGCTTCTCAGTGTCATCTGAAATGGTCAAATCATGATAACTTGGGAGGAACAGAATCATGCTTGAAACACCTCTCCATAGAAGCTTTAATTCTGGTGCTGAAAACAATTTATTGGTCAGAGAATATGCTCAGAAATACCTTGGACCGGAGCAGATCAATTGAAACAAATGGCTCTGACTTAGAAGTTCTCACTAATGCAATAGGTCTACTCTCATGGGAACTAACATTGGATTTGAGTTCAGCAGGTGAAATTGGCCTGACCACCAAATGTTGCTGGACTGCCACTCCCAGCAGTCCATGCCAAGACAGCTGATGATGAGGGACCCTGGGAGTTGAAGTTCAACTGGGAAGACTATGTGAATTGCACCCCTGACATACTCCTATATCCTGTAAATGTATGTCTGGCTGCCAAGACCATGATTTTGTCCCATGCTCTGGCTGATGAAGATTTCATGTCAAACAAAAGAGATTCCAAGCAATCTTGAGCCACAGCCGGAGGTGCCCAGAAACCACAAAGGGAGGCACATCCAGAGAGTTTGCAAAGAACCACTACATTTGTTCCACCATTGTGGTGCAGTCCTCATAGACAACAAGTTAAACATGAGTCAACAATGTGATGCGGCAGCCTAAAAAGCCATTGGCATTTTGCCCTGCATCAATAGGAGTATAATGTCTAGATCCAGGGAAGTCATGCTCCCCCTCTATTCTGCCTTGGTTAGACAACACCTGAAATACTGTATCCAGTTCTGGGCACCACAATTGAAGGGAGATGTTGACAAGCTGGAATGTGTCCAGAGGAGGGCAACTAAAATGATCAAGGGTCTGGAGAACAAGCCCTATGAGGAGTGGCTTCAAGAGCTGGGCATGTTTAGCCTGCAGAAGAGAAGGCTGAGAGGAGACATGATGAGGGCCATGTATAAATATGTGAGAGGAAGCCATAGGGAGGAGGGAGCAAGCTTGTTTTCTGCTGCCCTGGAGACTAGGGCACAAACAATGGCTTCAAATTACAGGAGAAGAGATTCCACCTGAACATGAGAGAACTTCCTAACTGTGAGAGCTGTTCAGCAGTGGAACTCTCTGCCTGAGTGTGGTGGAGGCTCCTTCTTGAGGCTTTTAAACAGAGGCTGATGGCCATCTGTCAGTGATGCTTTGAAAGCATTTTCCTATTTATTGACAGGGGATTGGACTAGATGGCCCAATAAGTTTGTTCCAATTCTATGATTCTATGATTTCCCTACAGACCCAAAGACCAAAAAAAAAAAAAAATGGGAACTACTTCACTATGTAACACAATTTTTGTTCCTGGGTTAGAAATGCCATTTTCTAATTGGCTCTATCACAAAAACATGGGAAACATCTTTGTTGTTGTTGTTCATTTGTTCAGTCGTCTCCGACTCTTCGTGACCTCATGGACCAGCCCACGCCAGAGCTCCCTGTCGGCCGTTCACCACCCCCAGTTCCTTCAAGGTCAGTCCAGTCACTTCAAGGATGCCATCCATCCATCTTGCCCTTGGTCGTCCCCTCTTTCTCTTTCCTTTCATTTTGCCAAGCATCATTGTCTTCTCTAAGCTTTCCTGTCTTCTCATTATGTGGCCAAAATACTTCATCTTTGCCTCAATATCTTTCCCTCCAGTGAGCAGTCGGCTTTATTTCCTGGAGGATGGACTGGTTGGATCTTCTCGCAGTCCAAGGCACTCTCAGCACTTTCCTCCAACACCACAGCTCAAAAGCATCGATCTTCCATCGCTCAGCCTTCCCTAAGGTGGGAAACATCTAATAACCTGCAAAAACACTGTTTTTGTGGGATACCCCACAGCACATTTTGCTATAGGTTTTCAATGAATATCTGATAGGGAATTCAACATAGCTTGTGGCAACCACAAAAACAAGGTTTCTGGAGTATCACAACTACTTTCAACGTAAATACTGCACAACTAAACAAGAAATAACATTTTCAATCTAGGAACAGGATTTTTTTTCAAAATGTGTTACATAGTGCTTTCAAAGCAAAGAGCCTAGTATGGCTGGTTGGATCTTTTCTGGAGTGAGAAGTGTGTACCTGGGAGGTAGAACTAGGGAGGCCTCTCTCTGCCCCACACAAGTCATCTCTGCTGCCTTCTTCTCCCAAAGGATCAGCAGGGCTAGGTCCTGGATGTGTGTCCATGGGGCCATGCTGTCCAAGAGAGAAGGCGCGCTTCTGGCCTCTTTGGGCTCCCTTCTGTTTCAGAGACATCCCTCCTTTGCGAAGGATCCTTCTGCTTTTGCAAAGGGAGGCGCCCACCAGGAGGATGGCGACCAGCAGCACGCCGCAGGCTCCGGCCAAGACCCAGATCAGCACCATGGAGAGCTCCAAATGAAGGTCTATTATTCCGACGCCAGGGGGCAGCCGCTCCATGGGAATCAGCGGCAGCGCCGCCGTGGAAGTCAGCGAGGGATTCCCTCCGTCCTCGACGGGCACCGCCGCCGAGAAAGGCTCTACCGAGGAGGCTCCCGGCGGGTCGTTCTCGTCGGCGAGGCGGACGGAGAGGCGGCGCGTGGAGCGGGCGGGGGGCGATCCGCGGTCCTGGGCCAGCAGCGTCAGGTTGTACTCGGGCACGCGCTCCCGGTCCAGAGGCCCCGACGTCAGCAGCAGGAAGCTGCGCCCGCGCTCCTTGCCGGGCTCCTGGCCTTCCTCCTGGCCCGGATCATCTTCCTCCTCCTCGTCGTCGTCTTCCTCGTGGGCGGGGCGGAGGGTGAAGGGCGGCGGGGTTCCCTCCTTGCCTCCCTCGGGGCTGACCAGGGAGAGGCTCACTTGCCCGTTGGCGCCGGAGTCGCGGTCCCAGACGCTGACCAGGGCCACCAGGCTGCCTGGCGGGGCGGCCTCGCTGACGTAGGCGACCTCCTCTCCGTCGGGGCCCCGCTCTTCTCCCTCTCCTCCGTCTCCCTCTTCCTGGGCCCGGCTGCGGAGGGGCCGGAGGTCGATCTGGGGGGCGTTGTCGTTGACGTCGAGGAGGCGGACGAGGACCTTGCAGGCGGCGCGGAGCGGTGAGGCGCCGCGGTCGGAGGCCTGGACGTCGAGCTCGAAGGCGCGCTGGCGCTCGTAGTCGAGGGCGGCGCGGAGGCTGAGTCGGCCGGAGAGCGGGTCGAGGGCGAAGAGGGCGCGCGCCTCGGCCCCCACCTGGCTGCCCCAGGCGTAGAGCAGCGCCCCGTTGGCGCCCTCGTCCGGGTCGGCGGCGCCCAGCTCCAGCAGCAAGGCGCCCGGCGGCGCGTCCTCGGGCAGCTCCAGCAGCCGCGGCGCGCCCCCGCGGGGGAAGGCCGGCGCGTTGTCGTTGGCGTCGAGCACGCGCAGGGCCAGGGTGGCCGTGCCGGACCGCGCGGGGCTCCCGCCGTCCTTGGCCACCAGCTCCAGGCGGAAGGAGGCCTGCGCCTCGCGGTCCAGCGGCGCCAGCAGCACCAGCTCGGCGCCCTTCAGCCCGTCCGCGCGGCGCGGCGCCTCCAGCCCGAAGTGCCGGTTGGGCGAGAGCGCGAAGCTCTGCACCCCGTTGGCGCCCGCGTCCGGGTCCAGCGCCAGCCCCAGCGGGAGCCGCGTCCCCGGCAGCGCCGCCTCCGACACCTCCAGGGACACCTCCGCCTGCGGGAAGCGCGGCGCGTGGTCGTTCACGTCCCGCACCTCCAGCTCCACCTGCAGCACCTGGTACGGCGACGAGGAGCCCGCGCCCCCCAGGCACACCACGTCGAAGGAGAGCGCGCACCACGCCGACGAGGCCCCGCACAGCGCCTCCCGGTCCAGCCGCTCCGGCCCCAGGCTCAGCTGCCCGTCCCGCTCCCGCACGCGCACCAGGGACCCGTTGCCCGGAGGCTTCAGCAGGCGGAAACTCCCGACGACGGCAGAACCCAGCTTCTTGTGCATCTCTTCCACGAGGATGCCAAACACCGTCCCGGGGGGCTCCTCCTCGTCCAGGCTGAAGCGGAAGATCTCGCCCCAAGTCAGGGAGAAGGCGCAGAGCAGCAGGCAGAGCGGACGGACCATGGCTTCTCCTCTGACCAAAAGCTGGGGGAACTCAAAAGGGCCTTCTTCTCGCGCTCCGCACTTTGCCTCTCCGCTCGCCTCTGTCCTAATCCGGCTTTGCTCCCTCCACCTCTGTCCCGGGCCGCACTCCTCCCCAACGTCCCGCTGAACTCGTCTTGCCCGGGGCTGATATGGTTAACTGCATGCAAATAAGGCGCTCTCTTCGACCAATCCGCTGATTCCCCGCGGGATGGAAGGGGAACCTGACCGGCCAATGGGAGGCGTGCGCGCGTCTCCTTCCCAGCTTTGCAAACCGACGGAAAGAGGAGGAGAAGTTTCTTCTTCCCATCCTCTTAACACATTCCGTTTGACTCCCATCAAGTCTAAAAGTCTTGCCTAGACTGAAACAAAGGGAAACCTGCTGGGAAAGTGAGTTCTCTATCACCTATTGGTCAAATTCAGCCCATAGGCTTCCTCCCTTCCATTTGAGTTAGGCTTTCAACATTGTTTTCCCAACAAACAGTACTAATAAGAACATTATGTAACATTATTTTTGTTCCTGGGTTATAAATGCCATATCCTAATTGGTTCTGTCATAAAAACATGGGGAAAGTTAATGAAACTGCAAAAACAGGACATCCTGCAGTACATTTTGCTATAGGTTTTCAATGAATATCTCACAAAGTCTCATCCAATTCTTAGAATTCAGGATAGTTTGTGGCAGATACAAAAACAATGTTTCTGAAGTATAACAACTACTTTCAAGGGAAGTACCACACAACTAAACAGGAAATAACACTTTCAAACCTGGAACAGAAGATTTTTCAAATTTTGTTACATAGTGTAATGCTATTATCACTCCCGAGAGCTCAGTGTACTCTGCCCAAGCTTTCTTTTTGACACAGTAAGGTAAGAATCACCCCTCTGCCCATTCTACTACATTTGTTTGTGAGAGAGTAAACTATCCCGGAGAAATTGCTCAAATGTCTGCTAGGTCTCGGAAGCCGATTGAATGACACACATTTGCAGCGTTTGAAAACAAAGACAAACCCCTTTGAACAAATTGTGGTAAGATAGCCCCATGATTGGTCCCAGGCCCCATCTACACTAGCATATAATGCAGTTTATATAATGCTTGAGCTGCATTATATGAGTCTACACTGCCATATAATGCAGTTTAGCTGCATTATGAAACTGTGTTACATGGCAGTATAAATGGGGCCTCTCTTAGTGTCCCCATATCTTAGAAATGGCTTGAACATACACAACACAAATAATATACACAACAAAAGCAACTTTAACATAGTAAAGGTAAAGTTTTTTGGGTTTTTTAGAGTCAGGAGTGACTTGAGAAACTGCAAGTTGCTTCTGGTGTGAGAGAATTGGCAAGGACGTTGCCCAGGGGACACCCAGATGTTTTGATGTTTTATCCTCCTTGTAAGAGGCTTCTCTCATGTCCCCACATGGGGAGCTGGAGCTAATAAAGGTAAACGTTTCCCCTTGATATTAAGTCCAGTTGTGTCCAACTCTGGTGGGCAGTGCTCATCTCCATTTCCAAGCTAAAGAGCCGGCGTTGTCTGTAGATGCCTCCAAGGTCATGTGGCCAGCATAACTGCATGGACCACCTTTACTTTCCTGCATTCCAGGTATTGTATTCCAAAACAATACCTATTGATCTACTCACATTTGTATGTTTTTGAACTGCTGGGTTGGCAGAAGCTGGGCCTAACAGCAGGAGCTCACCCCGCTCCCCGGATTCAAACTGCTGACCTTTCAATCAGCAAATTCAGCAGCTCAGTGGTTTAACCCACTGAGCCACACAACAAGAAATGGTTGTCATCCATTGAATGGTGAGTCAACACACAAATCCAATTGAATCACTGGGTCTGTTTTTAAAATCTGGACTAAAACAGAACCAGTGAGTTATAAAATTACATTAAAATGACAGAGAAGAGTTATTAAAATACATTCTACATTCAGATTTTGTAGAAATAATTGTGATATCCAAATACTGAAATAACACTGATCATATTAATACTCTCCTTTATCAATAAATACCTGAGCTGGGGGAAGAAGAGCCACTTTTTGTGGTTCTCTTTTCTTCTTAGAAGGCTGTAGACCTCAAAAGTGTTGACTGAATGTGTCTAATATAGTCAGGATTTAGGTCTGTGTTCACAGAAAATATTGCTATTAGGCCATGTAATTTATTACAGCACTATTTTTTAAAAAGCACCTTAAAAATACAACATTGTTATTTCACGTGTGGATCATATGCACAATCAACAGGGGGGGGGGCGTTTTGTCAAGAGCAGCCCCTGAAGCCATTTGGCCAGCAAAATCTATGTTTTAACTTCCAGGAGGGCAAAACCCAGAAGAGACAACTGAAGTGTGAAATCCTTACAAATGGTGTCAAGCTAGTGTGTGCCGCTCCCCCATCCCCTCCCCCCGAAGTGTGGCTCCTTTCTGTCTGAATGTTCCTGAGAAAACACTGAACCCCAAACACTAGAGCTTAAAACTATCCAGAATTTCAAGAACAGAGGAATTTGAGTTTGGTTTTTTTAAAGTTGTAACTGAAAAGAAATGGCAAGATCCTCGAATGCTTTCCTAAAACTATGCTACCCTTTTCAGTGCTTTGAGCTTTGCACTCTATGTCCCATTAAGAATTTTTAGGGCAATTAATCCAATCTTCAACTGCTTTACTTAAGCTGGATCACGCCCATTACATGTTTGAAAGGAAGGCTGGTTCTGCCATATTTGATCCATTTGAGTATACTAACAACATCTGTCGCTTCTGGTACTTTTCATCTTAAGAACAGACAAGCATCTCAAGGTCTAAGGATTCCCTGGGAAGGAATCCCATTGGAGCATTGCAGCACATCCAAATACCTGGGAGTCACTCAGGACTTATAAGAAGCACTGCTTGATTAACAAGCAAAAAGTGGGTGCTAGAAATAATATTATACAAAAGCTGACTAGCACAACATGGGGATCACAATCAGATACAGTGAAGACATCTGCCCTTGCGCTTTGCTACTCTGCTGCTGAGTATGCATACCCAGTGTGGAATACATTGAAACAATGGATGTGGCTCTTAGTGAGACATGGCACATTATAACAGGATGTCTATGCCCAAAACTGCTGGAGAAATTAAATTGTTTAGCTGGCATTGCACCACCTGATATCCGCCAGGAAGTAGCAACCAGCAATGAAAGGACCAAAACATTGATATCTCCAGCCCATCCTCTGTTTGGATATCAGCCAGCATGTCAATGACTTAAATCAACAGTTTCCTAAGATCTACAGAGATACTCACAGGAACACCTCAGTAAGTGAGAGTCCAAAAGTGGCAAGCTAAAATACAAAACCTAAATCAGTGGATGACAAGGTAAAGGTTTTCCTCTGGCATTAAGTACAATCTTGTCCAATACTGGGGGCTAGTACTTATTTCCATTTCTAAGCCGAAGAGCTGGCGTTATCCGTAGACACCTCCAAAGCAGAACTGACAACTGGGTTAGGCTATTAGGTGTGCAGTAACCAAGGGAAAAGAACACAGCTAAACTCGACATAGGTGTGAACCAGACTGGAAATGTATTTGAGATCTGGGGCATTGTTACAAGACAGCTTTTGCTGGACATAAAACAGTTGTCCACTCCAAAAACATAGTATCTGCAATGTAACATATTTAATGTTTACATACACTTAACTGTTTTGGAAGAAAGGTGGCTGAGTGTTAGAGCAAATATACCATAGCATCTCTTTACCTTTTAAGGATGACTGCTGGTTTAGCCTCCTTTCAACAAACTCCAGCCATCTACACTGCCATCATAATGCAGACTGAACTACATTATATGGTCAGTGTAGACTCATAATGTGGTTTAACTGCTTTGAACTGGATTATATGAGGCTACACTGTTCAAACAGCATTATAATGTCAGTGTAGTTGGGGCCTCAGAGTACCATACATAATTTCTCCATAATCTGCTTTATTTTTTAATCTATTGGCTGGGAGATCCCAAGCTTTGAATGCTTAAACGAGAATCCCCCAGGCAGTTACATGGCTAGGTAGGGATTTTAGGCCAGGTCTATCTGACCTAAATCGAGTCTATTTACCATGCTGTTGCCATTTTTGTAACTATGTGATACAGTAGAGAGAGAAAACAAATCTGAAAAGAATAAAAGGTAAAGGTTTCCCCTTGACATTAAGTCTACTCATGCCCGACTCTGGGGATCGGTGCTCATCTACATTTCTAAATTGAAGAGCCGGCGTTGCCCATAGATGCCTACAAGGTAATGTGGCCAGCATTACTGCATAGAGTGCCGTTACCTTCCCACTGAAGTGGTACCTATTGATCTACTCACATTTGCATGTTTTCAAACTGCTAGGTTGGCAGAAGCTGGGGCTAACAATGGGCACTCACCCCGCTGCCCAGTCAGCAAGTTCAGCAGTTTAACCCACTGTGCCACCAGGGGCTCCAAGAATAAGAATAAAGAAATCATATTTAAGAAGTAACATGAAAGAATACTAATCTTCTTATCATGTAGGAGAATGTAACAGTTCAATATAATGCTTTGGTGGAGCATTGCCTATGTGATCTTTGTGTTCATTATGCTTGTAACATTCCAGGTCTTAACTAATATGAACAGGCAATATGCCCATCCCATGCCATTATAAGACCATTTGAGAAACCATTTTGTTACTGAAGACACATGGAAAATGGTCTGCCTTTCCTATGATACAATCTGGAACACATAGTTTGAAGACTTATAGAAAGAGAGATGGTGTAAAAATGGTCACTCCTAAATCAGAAAGAGAAATGACACTTTTTTTCTATTTGTAAAGGGCATTTGGAGTTCAATGAAAGTATGAGGGATTGACAGCTGAATGAATGCTAAAGCTCCAGAGTAATGACAGGCAGGATAACAGAAAACCAGTCTGGTGTGTCCCCCTCGGCCCCTTGGTGAGTTTGGAAGCCCTGGGCTTCTGCTTACACGCGTTCCAATCTGCTAGGCTAGTGTTACAATAATATTATTTCAGTGTTCTGTTTTTGTTTTGTTTTTAACAGCACTTGTTTTGTAGAAACTTTCTACCAGACAGGACTTGCTTGCTGTCAAAAGTACCAGCGTACAGGCCCAGAGGAGAGTCTGTCTGCCATGCCATTAAGGGATTGCT